CAATATCTAAAAATCTTTAGAATTTTCAGTAAATACATACACAAAAATCATTCCTTTAAGTAAATTAAAGTATCACTTACCCCGATAACACACAAATAGATATGTTGCTCAAATGAATTTCGGAAATCAAAGATATTAGCGAAAAATATTGCATTGAACGCAATCGCACCGACTAAAATATGAGTCAACGTAATTACAACATTCATAAATACAACAAACGCAGACTTCTCATCGACGTTAATTTCAGCTACGTTTATATTCTGCCGGGAGTCATTTTGTACAGCCATGATTAATTTTAAAAAATAAATAAATAAGGTAAACCGCTGAAGAATCAATCTGTACTATTCAACGTTTTATCGGACACAAGATAAAATTTCTATTGGTAATATCTCGTGTTATCAATACAGTTCTCTGTTATCGTTTGAACCGAAGTTAGATAGTATCAATTACTCTCATATGTCATTCCGTTACGGAACAAATAAAACTAACTCTGGTAAAAAAACCCAATGGACCAACGTTGACTAAGGCCTAGTCACCCTAACTTAGTTTAGGCTCCGAGCCATTCAGTCGGAATGTTAAAGTTAGTAAGCTGGTGATGATGATAGTGATAAAAAAATTCGGAATCAATGAAATCCATCTAACTGTGGTAGAGCCCGCTTTAACATCTTCGCACGAATAGGCCGGCCGTATAATAATATAAACCGGTGTAATACCACGACCACACAGAAAACAGGCGGGAAGTGGAAGCAATTCCGTGTTTCGTCTGATGAGTGTGATGCCGAAGGCCTAATTTTAGTCCCTTTCCCTTTCCACCCTTTTGTTAAGAGGAAAGGATGAGAAGGATAAGTGAATTTGACGGTGGAGGAGACGCATGGGAAGGGGAAATGTCCTCTTTATGTGCGTCTCCTCCTCCGTCAATTAAGGGTACGCAACGCATCTGCAATTGTGGATGTTTATGGGCAGCGGTCGCTTTCCATTTCGGTGGATTCAGGTGGCCGCTTGCTCGTTTGCCACCTTATAGTATAAAAAAAATCCTACTATTACGACCATGGAAACTTACTACAGCGGAAAAAAAGGCAACAACGATTGAGTCAGTTTTGAAAAATAACTATCACATATCTAAAGAATTCAGTTAGAGTGTTATACTAACAGATTATACTTTAGTTAAGTACCTCTCCAAAAAATTTTATAAATAGAACACAAGCCAAGTAAATCAATTATTACTCAATATTTCGTTACTAAAGACAATTCAATACAATGGAAGGGACGACTGGTTCTATCCATTTGAAATCAGTGATATCAGAAAGTGTTTTCTTGCAAACTACCAGATTAACAATTAATCTTGTTACAAATATTTTAATTTTCTTAACTGTTTTTGTGAGTCTCCTATTTTCATGTAGGTCGACAAAATTAACCGTTTTTGATCTACATATAATTTTATGTGTTTTGGGGGTGAGTGTGTTTCTTAATTAAAAAAAATAGTAAAACAAGGTGTTAGAAAAACAGCCTTTTTAGTTCAAATATTGATGTAATTAAGCGCTATTTTTGTAGCATTTTGAAGGTACAATTCATTAATATAATAAATGCGAAAGCTTAGATAGTTTGATGATGAGGGTGCCGCTAAAATGGCTGATCAGATTTTAATGAAATTTGGTTTGATGTAAATCATAATTTGGAAGAAAAAATAGGTTACGTACTTTTGTAAAACTTAAAATATCAACGTAATTGGCGTTATTCCTTGCTGTTACTTTCAGTACCAATTCTTCATGTGCCAAGGAATTTTATTACTTTCTAAATATAACAGTTGGTCTATGTTTCTTAAAAGAAGGCATCGCAAACGTTTGCATTGGATATTACAAATATTGGCCCTTATATTAATAATTACTGGTAGCGTTATAATGATTAAAGAAAAGCATACAAATTTTAACACCGAACATGGTATACTAGGTAAGATTTTTATGATTTTAAAATTCAATACTCTGTAATTAACGATATTATGCAAAACAGCATAACCTGGCCCTTAGTCTTTACGATATAGTGGGCTTCAAGTGCAGCATACGTACAATTTAGATTAACTCCCGTTTACTATAAAAAAGCGATGAAAAATCATCATCTCCCCTACCTTATTCCCGTAGGGTCGGCGCACTGGGTTTTCGTCTTCCTAATAACACTATCTTCCGTCATCTCAGTCATCACTCTCTTCTTAATCATGTCACGTTTCACGCAATCCATCCTACCTCTACCGGTGTACGTCCACGTTCATAACTACCGTCCAACGTGGCAAATTTTTAAAACTATTTTTATAATTCCTTTTCAGCATTATGCGCACTCTTACTTTGCGTATTATGTCTTTTGAATGGAGCACTCTTACACAACGCGCATTCAATAAAATCATCAGGGAAGGTGACTGCGATTAGATATACGCACTACATCACAAGCATTAGTACATTGTTCTGTGCGACAGCTGCCTTGTGCTTCGGTTTTAACACGCATTCCTTCAAGAACTGGATTGGAAATGAAAACGCGGTTAAAACTATCATGGCTTTAACATGGCTATTTACTGTAGCAGTTTCTATAGATTTCTGGATTTCGTTAACATCAAGACTGAGTAAATTATTGTCATAAAATATAGAGGAAAAATAAGGATTTTCTAAGATCTTCCAACTTTCTTGTTCCTATTGTACTTGAAATAAAACACCAGGCAGTGTTTAAAGCTTTTTTTATTTTTGTACGTTGTTATATGCATTAGTACAGATATATTTAATGAAAAAACCGTTAATAAATTCATATCCTATTACAAATTGATTTATTTAAGGCGCATACCGTTGACTAAACTATCGCAGAACTGTTGTGAGATTGTCGATTGTTTCGCACCCAACTGTTTAGTTACACAACTAAAAATCGAGCAGCGTGTGAGTAAGCTCATAGGAATCAAAGCGACTAAAGGGTTGTGCGATAGTTTGGTAAAAGGTTTACGCACGCTCTAATTGTGATATAAAACTGACTATTGTTGACTAAACGCTATGAATATTCAACAGCCGGTAAATAAATGCACTATACATGAAAGTATTTACAAATTTCTAAAATAATAGTATAAGTGTAGAAAACAGCGTAAATAAATAGTAATGAACACATATAATAGTTTCTAAGAAATACACACCGTAATAAAACTATTAATATTACATTAATAAGGAATACTATTATTTTCTATTCTATCGCATAACCTAAAATTTTAAGAAATTACAATATTCATGCAGATTATAGTATGCGTTACGTCCATCTTATCTGAAGTTAGCAACGAAAACTTCCTTCTCTATCGCACTTACACTCACGTGTAATTATGCGTCTTGCTCACTCGTGGAAAATGAATTTGGTGGCCAACTTCATATACAAAGAAATATTTATAAAACCTAATAAAATTATAATACATTTTAATCTCTTAGAATACAAGTTTATTCGAAAAATTTTCAGCTATTTGTGGTAAAATGAGCTTTTTATATTAATTAATTACAGAATAAATAAAAAGCGGCATAAATATGGATCGTTTTGCATTTATTATTAATTGCCACAAAAAATACATTGTTATATTTTCCTTGAAAATTTAGAATATAGTACGCCCAGATTTTTTATAAATTAAAGACAAAATATCTTTCATGGCTTAACCAATCATGCTGATTGAAATTAATTATTAAAATGCATACTAGTTAACAAAATAAATCCATTTTTAATTAAACTTATTCTACTATCAGAATTGATTCGAAGAGTTTACTTTGACAGATCTACATTACAACTCATCTATGTATAGTCTGGAGATCACGACACTATTACTAATACTTATAAAAACTGAATGTAATTTCTTCTCAAAACTAACAACATGCATAAGCTATTATGAACCCTACACAGTTGTGTTAAAGTAGTAATTAAGTTTGGCTGTTCAGATTGGCATCTATTGTATAAAACTTTACACATAGAGCTAATAACAGACAAATGATAGGTGGCTTCTCGTGCGTTCACGTCTAAGTCTGGTATTCCACTGATCTAACTCACTATGCGTCCATTTCATATCACAATACTATGAGTCATAGGTCTAACCCCCGTGTAACCGCTCCTTTACTTGCTTTCCACTCGCACGCGTTACCTGATAACAGAAAAATATGAACAATTTCATTGTTTCATAAATTGTAAAACTATTCACAAAACAAACCAACGTAAGTATAAAGATAACACGATAAACACGTAATACTCAATAACTATGACGATTTAAAAATATCTATACTAATATAATAA